AGACCCTCCCACCCCATTTAAGATTGGCCTGCAAGTCTATTTTAACCATTTAGTAATTTTTTATAGTTTATGAAAATAAATTATACAGTAACTATTTTAATAAATTAAGCACAAAAAGGGAGAGGAGAGGAGGAAAACCAAATGGGAAAAGCCAGGCCACGCTTTGGCTTGGAGGGAAGAAGTACAGGGGAGTGGGGGGCTGAAGGACAGAAGTGGTTGCAAGGGGCGTGGCTCCCCTCTGGTGAAGAATTGGCAACCACGCAAGCCCAGAATGACACCCCTCTTGAGTTTCTTAAAAACAACCAAAAAATGTACAGCAGTGGCTGAGCCATGGGCAGCACCAGTTCAGGCATTCCAATACCTGGCCTGCCCGCATTGTGGTGCCAGGATTTGCTTGTCCCTTGGAATAGGTTCTGGGCCTAACAGTGAGGGGAAGGTCCCTGTTCAAGGGAGCACCAGGGATGGAGTAGTCAGACCAGCCTTCCCGATGCACCTGAGCTGTAGGGGGCTTAGGATGCAGTTCTGAGCAGGGATGTGCGGTTTGTGATTACCCTGGGTTCTGACTGAGTGTCCTAAGCTTTCCTGGCACTCTCTCTCCAGGAGTAACTATGATTGCAGTCCAGCTGCAACCAGACATTCATGTCTTCCGCCATGGCTGGTTGATTTTTGCCTGCCCCTTGATGCCTCTTGGCATGATGGAAGAGGGGGTGGGAGAGGGGGAGGGAGCAGTTCCAGGTACCCTCTAAATGAGATGAAATGGGTATGAAGGCATGTCACAGACTCGGCATGCAGGATTGGCTTTCCAGGAGGCAGATGGGGCTGGGAAGGGACGGGAGAAGGGGTAGAGAGGATAGGAAGGGAAACAGGAAGAAACTGGACAGCACCTACCAGGCAGGTCAAGGGATGACAAGGACCAAGACAACATAGAATCTGGATGTAAAGAAAGGTTTTTCCCTGGCGGATTAGAGTCAGTATTTTAAATACAGTTCATTATTCTATTTTTCTAACTGCAGCACCTGAGTCCCCAGTGCGTCTCTGTGGTCCAACCCCACCGCGCTCCTCCCAAGGCTTTGCTCTACATTTTCTCCAGGCCTCCTGTCATTTTGTGCTGAGCAAGAAGGTCCAATATCAAAACAGGATAGGTCATGGGAACGGGGCAGACTTGACTTTGCCTTTGCCTTCTTGAGCTTTGTGGCCCAAAAATCTTATCGTGATCATGGGGGGAAGTGGGGGGGTACACTTTATTTTTTTTTTCTTTTTCTTTTTTAATAAAAAAAGTTTTACTCCCCAGGAGCAAATAAATTATTTTGAACTACTGATAAACACTGCTGCAGTGAAAAGAAAGATGGCTACATGTATGCAATAGCACAAATTCAGTGTAAGAACAGCTGTGTTGACGATTAGAGATAAAAATCATTTATCCGTTCCCCCCTTTCCCACAGACAAACCCAAGAGGATTCCCATAGGGAAAATGTCTAACTCAAAAGCTCCTCCCTTAGGGACAGGGGGCATGTCATTCTCTTAAAAGTGGAAAACAAATGGCAAGTCTCCCCCCAATGGAGATGCTCTCAGCACCCCAACTGGTGGCAAGACTTCTGCACATGAAGACACACACACATGCACACACACCTTTCAGACTGCCCTCCAGCAGCCACAGCGCTCTATCCCAGTGCTCAGTCCTCCAACGTCAGGGCTCAAGGCCAAGGGAGAGGCAATAGGGCAGACAGATGGAACCTAAAGGAAAAGTTCCTCCCATCCCCACACCCTGCTGGGCCCTAAGGGCTCCTAGCAGGCCATGTTCTTCTGGGGGGGCTCTGGGATGAGGCCTGAATGGGCTGGCACCCCAGGGCATCCAGCTCCATTCCAGTCTCTCACACCTGGATCTGGGACCACTGACCGTCCTCCCTGCTCCCCAGTTCCCCCAGGATGTGCACTATAGGGGTGTTTGCAGCTATCTCAACAGCATTCCCAACCTTAATAAGGGGGCTACATTATCAGCTAAGTGAAAAGGAGGAAAGGAGGCCGAGGAGTATAAACTGGGTGGCATGACGAGTGTGGCATGGAGAGCTCCCCGCCTGCCTTTCCTCTCCCTTTCCTCCTAGGAGGCTGATGGCTGCAGTCCTCGGCTCACATTCCAGTGAATATGCATTCACTGTAACGAGGCACACAGGCCAAGGTCATCACCAATGGTACCAAACTCCCAGGGTCACCCATTTACCTAGTCCCTATACCAAAGCTCCCACCCTCCTTACTCCTGAGCTCCTACCCAGCACATGAGTTTTAAGTACAGTAATAGCAGGTTGTGGCAGTAGTTGTCACTAGCTCACAGTGGTTCAGCTGTCCTGAGGAAGGTTACAGCAGGTCAACCATAAACAAGTGAGGGTTGCACAGGCAGCACCCCAGGGTGCTGACATCACCCATCCACAACTTAGGAATCAACGAGGGGTCCCTAGGAGTGAGTGCCCTTTCCAGTTTGTGACTTTAAAATACAACCAAAAAGGAGTAAGTACCCTCTGTAGACTGCATTTCAATTAGCACTGCGCAGGACCGGCAAAGGAGAGGGTGGGCCCAGCCAGAAGAGGTGAGGGGGAAGTACTCCTGCTCCTCGTGTACTCTGACCAGGCCGGCACCTCCGCCGCACCTCTTCCTCCACACCTCCTGGTGGAGCCTGTCTCCCCGCGCACAAGTCTGCCCTGCAGCCCACTCGAAGCAAGGACTAGGCTGCAGCCTGGCTACGACTGAAGCACAGACAGATCATGGACATAGGCAAACGCCACCCTTCCCAGGAGAAAGGGCAGGGGTGAGGCTGGGCCATCTCAGCAGGTTAGGATTTGTACCTGAGCACAGGAATTATCCAGTGGAAACCCTGGTGCCAGGGGGGCTCTAGGGCTCTGCCTCCCTCACCCAGGCTGCACTGACAGCAGTGAAGTCCTTGGCCATGGGCCGGAACCCAGCTGGCTTCTGGCTATGGACTCCACTTTATCATAAACCCTCAGCATTCAGACTTGCCCATGACTGGGAAATTTCAGTCTAGACCACACTGCACTGAAAATGGATTCTTAAGGGCTTCTGCTCTAACTTGGGGCTGTGCACTGTTCAGTTACACCACACAGATTTCTGCTTTCATGCTTTTGGTTCATGTGTTTCTCAACTCATTGTCCTGCCCTCGCCCACGATCCAAAGCCTCACTGCCTCAGAGCTTTCCTACACCATCTGGTCTACCCTGATCTTACCCACTCTAAATTTCTTTAAACACAGCCCTTGATTCTCTGCTACGTGCTACGCTGAGTCATTCTCCAATTGCTTCATGTGTGGCTGTCACCTAAAAGGTCCTGAAGGCAGATACTATGTCTTCTGCTTCTTGTGTTTTCCACAGTATCTAGCCCAGAGCCAGGCAAACACACACTAAAAAATCGTTTTAAAATTATGGGTAGTGAAAATGGGTGTAAAAAAAATCCCAGGTAGCTGCACATCAGCTACTCAAGGATCCCAATGGATTCTAGACCTCAGGCTCTACAGTGGTGGGGGTGGGTTGGGGGTGAGGGTGGCCCTTTCTGCAAGATTGCAAGTTAATCTGTACCCTCAAGAGGCAAGACTCACAGGTTAAGCCAATTTCTGAGATCACAATCTTAACATGGTAAATAATACCATGGAAGCCACAGACAGAAGAGGTACCTCCTGAAAAATGAGAGGTGGGCTGTGTTTCTGTTACACAGCTTAATTTATGGGCCACCTCTTACAAGCAAGGAACAATTCAAGTTTCCTCCCTACTCAGCCACAAGGAGGAAGCTGGTCATTCCACGCAGGTCGTAAGGCAGAGGCCAATGCTTCCAGATGAGGCAGTCCTAAAAATTAACCAGACACCAGGGCCTTACCTCAAGCCATCAGGAAACCACAAACTTGATAGTATTATCTACCTTATGAGATGGAGCATAGGGGAAGCAAAAGACGCAGTCTAATGGAACACTACTGCAAATGAGTAATAAAGACCAAACAGTTCAATTTTCACATCTTAATAGCAAACTTTTCCCCAGAGTAGCTCTACAGAAAAGCAAATGCATAATCTTATAAGATCTGACAATGGCCTGCTTCAGAAAAAATTAAAGACCATTGAAAAGCACTGGAGTTTTTCTCCCTCCTCTCCTCACTTCCACCTGGACGACAGGCAACTCTGAAATCAGCATCTGACAGAATTCCAGTGAAAGGAGGGCAAACAGGATCTGACTCAGGAAAATGTTTGGGTTGCCAGAGAGAACACAGGAAAATTAAGAAGCCCTTGCTAGCTCCCATTCCAGAAGTGGGACAGTGATAAACCTAAAACCATGAAATGCAGTGCTCTCCTCCTCTCGGATCGAAGGACATTCCCTTAAGGCTGACACTGGAGAGCTTTCAATAGGAAGGGCACAACCATGATAGCTTTGTTTCACACCTTCCTCCACATTCCCTCTCACTAGCTGACAGGCAAATGGAGTGACACTGACTCCTAAGTCTCGGTACAGTTTGCCATTAAGAATCTGGAGGCATGCTCCATTAACCTTAGCAGCCCATGACTGGAGCTCCACTGCTCAGGAGATGAAAAAACTATTGCCTTGACAGCTGGCGGAAGCAAGAGGAATGACGTTACCATGACCAGAGTGAAATGTACAGTTATCTTGGGGAACAGGTTGAGGGTGGAGAAAGAAGAGGGTTAACTTGAGGTCACAGAGCTTAAAAATTAAACAAAATGAATCTAGCTTCTATGAGAGGTGATTTTGAAATCAGGTTCCTAAATTTAGAAGGAAAGGATGCGAGGAGTCACTGCTTCCCCCAGCAGAGGCCATCTGCCAGTTTTTGTCCAGTAATCTTCTGTCTGAGACCACTCACCTCCTTTCTTTCCTGCTCCTACTGAAGCTACCCATGCTTAAAGAGAAGCTCCCTCAGAAACACCTAACTTGATTTGCCCTCTGACTCCTTCTCTTCCCTTCTTCAAGGTCAATGGTGAAGACTCACACTCTGCCTTTGGCACCAGCTGCTTGACCGGCACTGGCAATCCCCTCCCCACCCCTCCTTTGGACCTGCTCACCCTTCGCACCACTTCCAACCCAATGGGCACAAACCCCAGCTGCCTTTAAAGTGAGTTTTCCACACCAAGAAATGTAAATATCCAAAACAAAACGTGTGAAAAAGAAACAGTGTTGAGACTTCTTCCAGTTTTCTAGGAGCTCATCCAGTTCCAGGACACCAGAGGGGCGGCATGGGAAAGGTGGCTCCCCACGCAAACAGCATGGCTGTGTGCTTCTTCCAAGCCCCAGGGTGGCGAGGGGAATCAAAGTCTTTGCACAGAGGACCCCAACCCTTCCTAGTTCCTCTTGCTTTTCCCCGCTCCTCTTTTCATAATACCTTCATTTGGTTCTTCAAAACTGGAGCTTGGCAACCAAATGCCTAGGGGGGAAATGGAAAAATTAAAGTTAGAGTTGGTTCAGCAGAGTGGAACCAAAATAGAGTGACGGAATAGCCCAGCCTCTGGAGTACAGCTCAAAAGGAGAATGGAGTCTGGCTGGCCAAACACTTCCACAAACACTGTAGCTGGCTGGAGATGGAGCAACAGCCTTTGTCAGGAGGCCTGAGCAGCCTACAACCTGGATGCCAAAAAACTTTCTAAAGTAAGTATATCTGACCACGTTGCCTAACTTCCCTTTCCATTTCCCTTACCCCTTAATTTTCCACCTATTCCCTCCCCAACTTCTCCCGAAGCCCACCTGCTCTAGGGATTCAAAAAGGAGCTGAGCCCTAGCCAATTTGGCTCAGTGGTTAGAGCATCAGCCCATGGACTGAAGGGTCCCGGGTTTGATTCTGGCCAAGGGCACATACCTCGGTTGTAGGCTCATCCCCAGCCCCAGTCCAGGTGTGTATGGGAAGCAACCAATTGTTATCTCTCTCACATGATGTTTCTCTCCCTCTCTGTTCCGCACTCTGGAAAAGCTATCCTTGGGTGAGGATTAAAAAATAAATAAATAAATATAAAATAAATATAAAAGGAGCTGAGCCCGTTGAGAACCTGGCTAGAAACAGCTGTAGGTCTCTGTAGCTTCCGGCTATTGAAGAGGGTGGACATATAATCACAAAGCTGATTTAAGCTGTAAGACTCCAAACATCCTGGCATGAAATTCCCTAGGTAATAGACCAAGTAGTCTACTCAGAAATCCCAAATTAAAATCAGCCCAACAAGAAGTCATAAGGACCCAATTTTACCCGTTAAAGACCTTTCCCTTGAGAAGTGTTACTTCCCTTTTTTCAAGGAGTTTTAGCCTCTAAATCAGAAGTGAGTACAGCATGATGCTAATTCTTTGACCCAGAAAACATGGCCAGTGTCACAGTAAAAAGAGACCCTGGGAGTTCAGTTCAATCCTTTGCCAACACATGACTGACCCCCGCTCGTGACAAATGGCTACCTCTGGCCTGTACCTGATCATATCATGCTCCTTCCCATTTCAGGGCCTTTACACTTACAGGACCCTTTGCCCAGAATGCTCTGCTTCCAGACCCTTTCATGGCTGACGCCTTGATATTCAGTCAGCTGAAATATCACCTCCTCACCAGAATCATCCAAACTTGAGTAGTGTCCCAGCACTTAATCACAAACTTCACTTAGTTTTACTTTCGTCATAACATGTACAGGCAGCTGAAATGAGCCTATTTCTTTACTCACAGCTTTGCTGTCTGTCTCTCCCCATCAGAGTTGCAGCTCAGTGAGGACAGGACCTTTGACTATCATGCTCAGCACTCCATTCCCAATTCACACTGGCTGCTTTATATATGGACATCTGCTGAATGAATTAAAAAGTGGACAATTCACTAATTCCTGTGGAAAACCCATTCCATTGTTGGGCCTTTGTTAAAAAGGTTATTCTAAAGTTGGACTGGAATCTAATTCCTTCTAACATCCATTGTGGAACTTGTCCCACCCGTTGGAACCACACAAAATACGCTTAATATTCTTCCTTAGAAAAATCCATCAAATACTTCTTTCAGCTATCAAGTCCCTCTCACCCTAAGCCTTCTCCGCTCATGTTAACCACTTATTCCCCATATGATGAAGTCTGGAACCCTCCACCATCCCGAGTCTTCCTCTGAACGTGCTCCTGTTCACATGCGTGCTTCTGAGGGCACAGCAGCCACAGAGCAGTGCTCTGACAGAAGGGTCCTAATTACTCCTCAGGGTGTGGTCTGGTAGGTGGGCCTCCTGAGTTCCCTTTTTCCTTCCCACCCTAATCTCAACCACAAAGCCACCAAGCAGAGAAATGCTACTACACATTCAGGCGTTTAGATGTTTTATGAGACACCTGCAAGGGCATACAATTTACATATAATTGAAGACAGGCTAAGATACTGTACATCCAATCCAGGATCCTTTAAGTTAAAATTCTGCAGCCTCCCAGAATTTTCTGCTGATCTCTCCTCTTCATTCCTTCTCCCTTTGTTAATCTTTATTAGCCTGGCTCCCCTCCTATACTTTCTCCCAGTAACACAGGATCGAAGACTTCCAGAATCAAGGGGAGACACAGAGCTGGGTTCACCTTAGCAATGCTCAAGAAAACCCATGGGACACACACACCAACTGTCACTCTCCCATTACGGAGAGAGCAGAGATTAAAGCCCTCTTCACTCCAAGGTGGTTGCTCTTGTAGATTCTCCCCCTTTGTTTGGTGTGGGGATCGGGACTGGGGAACAGAGGTTAGAAGAGAAGTATTCAGTGCTTAACGAGGAAAGCACACTAAGGAAAGGTGGGGGCGGGTGTCACGCACCCAATCACTAGAATCTGAGATCTTGCATGTAAACCCGCACTACCAAAATCACTACTCTGCGGGAATTTGTTCCCTACTCACCTTTCAATGCACACATTGACGAAATGTAAAAGACTAGTTAGACCCCATCCACACAAACCACTATTCCACAATATTTTATGGGAGACTAAATGAATAGAACTCGGTATAGTAATGGGAGAAGCCGCTTAGATAAACGAATTCCTTAGTGAATTCACTTATTCTACTGAATGGTTCCCTTGTCAATGACCCAAATGGAACTCTAAAGGGAGGAGTGAGCTGGTTTTCCTCAACCCCGCAATCTGAGCCATGGCACACAGTGGAGCTCTCACTGAAGTGCATGCCGACTGCAACTAAAGGCATGTTTGTGTCTCCTTTGATGAAGTTTCCTTCCACTTTGGGTTCTGGCTTTGTGTGTCATTTGTGCAATGTCAGAGAGCTCAGTCGAAGTATGAGAGAAGGCTGCACACTTAGCTCCACGTGTGTGTCCCCCTCCTTCCTCATAGTCAGTGGTTAGCCTGCATGTTGCTTGGCAAAAATATTCTCTAAGCCTACCTTGTCTATCTGCTCTTCTCTAATTGGGGTGCTCCCTAGGCCCCTTGGGGACTCCATTATCAGACGTGGTAACTCTATGGGTGGATGCTTGGATCAGGGGTACATGAATGGGATGGCAGGGGTGGAGGCACAAGGTCCGTGCATGATAACAACTGCCCAGGAAGACATAACTGGACAGAGAGGCAGAGAGCTCATACCCTCGGTGGTGACCAGCAGGGCCCCTCGCTACGTGGATGGTTCCACCTCTTGCTTCTGTTTGGAAATGAGCTGCGCTTCCTTTAAAGACAGGTACACCTCTTCCTGAGGATCATAGTAGTAGAACTTTCGGATATAAGAGATCAGGGGTCTGTAAAAAACACACACAAGAGGGATACACACAAGGTGTCATTTATGTAGATTATGAAAGAAAGACCACCTTTGTTCAACTCTTCCTTCTTTCCAATTCCTATATGGTTGAGACTATACCAAAGACTCTGCTACCCTAACAAAATTCCCATTTTCTCACTTATTATAGTTCTGTCTCCTTCCCTCCACCCTTCATAGAGACTGCAGAAGGGAGGCTGACATACACACACCTTCCTCCCTTCTGGCTGCAATGTGACAGTTCTAGGGATAGGTACCAGGACACAGAGGAGTGAGAGGAGGATGCCTGTGCAACTGGCTTGCAGGCCTCTGCCAGGCTCTGTCTGTGCAACTGGCTTGCAGGCCTCACTAACATTTGTAAGTAACCCTCCTTCCTGCCCCANAACACTGCCAGGCTCTGTCTGTGCAACTGGCTTGCAGGCCTCACTAACATTTGTAAGTAACCCTCCTTCCTGCCCCAACCCTAAAGACCGCATCGTACTTAGGCAGTGGGAGATCCGGGATGTGATCTATCCGGACGAGCTGTCGGATTCGGAATCTGCAAAGGTGCTGGAGGGATTTGACATTGCTGAATCGGGACACTGGATAGAGCAGCTGGACTGGAGTTGGTGGCAGTCCTTCAAGAATGAAAACCAAGAGAAATATTCAGAGGGAACATTGCAGCTAACTATGATTGCCCTTATGAAGAGAGTCCGGGGAAAGGAAATGGGCTTCTTCTTTATAGTTCATCTATGTGTTCTGTGCAAAAGCCTCCTTCCACAAAGGACTGCCGATTTCCATTTGCAGAAGCACCACTGCCATATTTCACTCAAGAGAATCTATTCTTCCTAGCCAAGGGCCTCCTAGCATCACTCTTAACAGCTGAGAATCTTGCTCTTCAGAACAGCCCAATGAAAAATGCCAAGCTAGAGACTGTGCTGGGAGCCAAGTGGCCACTCCCAGGCCTGCGGCTCTCAGGGAAGGGTAAGAATCAAAGGCATCCCTGCTAGGAATGGGGATACTTGTTCAGCACATCTAGCAGTATGCTGAAGGTAAGGACTCAGAAAGGCTGTTCAGAGGGGTTCCCACCAAATTCCAACTGAGAGGCTGGTAAGCAGAAGGCAACAGGTGGGATCAAAGTTTACAGGCCTACGACTCCTGTCACTTACTTTAAGTCAGGACAATCAGGGTTAGCTACCTCTTATTTCCTACCCCCCAACCACCCTTCTTGCTTCTGAAATTTTAGGCTGGGTACAGGAACAGAAAAAAAAGATGATGCTATTAAAAGAAAAAAAACTACAGTAGCTTGGGCAAGCTGGAATTAGTACTATTCAGTGAAAAGTGCCTAATGACTGATGGCAGCCAGGCCCAATGCGAGGCCCACACCCTTATGTTTCATCAATATCAGCAGGCTCTGTGTTGGAAATTCCAACCCCTAAGGGTCAGTGCCACAAAATGGAGACACCCAGAACAGCAGGGACACTGAAACAGGTTCAAAGGAACAAAGATATCCTGGTTTCAATAAACAAAGGAGCTATGGAAAGTAAATAAGCAAACTGCTCTCAGAAATAATCTGAGTTGCAAAATCTTTGAAAGTCGTTCTCAGCCATTGTCCTAGCAAAAGAAATTCCGTAGCACAATATGTTGGAAAATAAAATATCTTCTATTTTTGGAGTTTAATTTCAAATTGTTTAAAAATTTTGTTTCAAGGCAAAAGAATAAAAAATTACAGTTTGCAGATTGCCTTCCAAAGCCTTTTCATGGTCGTTGACAACTGACTTTCTTTAAAAAAATTTTTTTTAATCAAAATACCTATTATATTGTTACTAAACAGGTTAGTTTATCTTAAAAACATTTAATTCATTTAGTCTTTAAAACTATACTTTAAGACATTTCACATATGAAGAAACTGAGGCCTATCTGGCTTAGAGAACTTGCTCACAAAGCTGTCCTGCCTTAAACAATTGCTGCCCAAGGAGGGATTTAGCCCAGGGAAGCTCTCAGGGCTGTTCTCCAGGACAGTCAGCACCCTGATTTATGATATGACCAGTCTCCTAGTCCTCTCCTTCTCACTCCTACCCTTCAAGCCTACGGTTTATATTTGAAGCACTGCAGCCCCACTCCACCCACGTGGTAGGCCCTCTACTACTCGTACACCATTAAAAAAAGAAAAAGAATTCAAACATGGATTTCTCTCTTAAATATATTTAAACTCAAGTGGTTTTAAAAATGATTTGGGGTTTAAATGCCTCTTTGAATTTACTCTTTCTCTCATATGTTTTTAAAATATTCTTTAGTAAATTAATCTATGGCAAACAGAAAGCTTTTGGGGGTTCGTTGTAATATTGCTAAATTCAACATGATGTTTCAGAGATAAAAGTAACTTATGTATCTAATTATTTATTCCCAAAGATGCAGGACTTGTGTCTAAAGAGATCAGGATAATGTGCAGCATACAATTATCTGATTGTTTACCTACTTAAATTTTAATGACTATATATACTTGCCTATTTTATTGTGTTACTTTTAGCCTTAGGTTCACAAATAGAAATTTGAAACCTGTTAATTCTCAGACATTCCCTGGTGTCGACCTGACAGTTTACCATTTGCCCCCAAACTTAGCAAAAGATTGGAGCTCTCACATCCAGAGCTTGTTAACAGAAGAGGTGAAAATGGAAATGAAGCCAAGACAAGACACCAGTGTAGCTGAAAGGGAAAGGGTGAGGTGAACAGGGATCATCAGGAACTTTCCTCTGGTCCTCATGCCAGGGGTCCTGGGCACAAATCCAGCTACCAGCTATTTCAATATTTTCTCTTCCCCCCAAAAGTACCAAGTTAGGGATGACAAATCTCTTTCAGGTCTAATACCTGAACATGTAGGTCTTTCTGCGACACCAAACTGTTCCCCGAAGACCAGAATTATCCCACCCAAAATGTCAATGGGGGTAGCTCAGTTGGTTAGAACATCGTTCCAATATGCCAAGGTTGCGGGTTCCATCCTCCGTCAGGGCATACACAAGAAGCAACCAATGAATGCATCAATAAGTGAAACAACAAATTGATGTTTCTCTCTCTCTAAAATCAATTTTAAAAAATAGTAAATAGTGCTAAATGGAGAAATTCTGGATATAGCAAAGACATGTCACTGAACAAGTATAAGCTCAAGGATGGTTACAAAAGACAAAGTGACTGATTTCCTTCGAGTTAATTCCAAGTATGATTAAAAAACAAAAGGTATTTTATCTTCATGCCCTTCACAGATGAAGATTCTCCTAACTGAGGACACGCTAACTTTAAATTCTGGCTCTCTCTACAGCTAAGTGACCTGTAGAGTAACTTCACTTTTGAGCCTCAACCTCAGTTTACTCACTGACAATATGAAAAGTCTTATCTATAAATAACAATCTATTAGCTAAAGAACTTTAGAGAGAGATAAATAAAAAACCTGACAAAGTACCTGGCACATAAAAGGCACTCAATAAATAGTAGCAATTATTATACTCTCTAGCCATTAACAATGTTAAGAACCTTAGTTAAAATTTCTGCAGACAGGGCACATTGTGGAATAAAATGAGCTAAAGGAGTCCAAGTTTCCATGAAGTCTCTCAATACTCTACAAGTAGATACATGCTCCAGACTCCAGAATCCTTTGAGAGGGTTCCCTGGCTCACCCACAGAGTTTACTAGCCTGCCCTTGTTGATCACTGCTATGCCTCGTATTGAACTTAACATGTGCTATTACCTTTACCTTTCCACCTAGTCCCACTTTGAGGCTACAAGCTTTCTAAAGGCAGAATTGTGGCTTATTTTTGATACTGAGATACAAAATAAATGTTTATTAAATAAAAACTCCCCAAAAATACAAACTTTAAAAATTGCTAAGCAAAGTCAATTCCTACAAGAAAGGAATTCTAACTTTTCCCTTTAATCAAGTCAACTGCCTTAGACCCAACTGTGCTGACAGCACTGAGGCAAATACTAAATGAAGTGAGAATTAATACAGTTCGAATCCTGTCATGCCTTATTTAAATCACCAAGATTATAAAACACATTCCTGTAACCTAGCTCAGACCTGTTACTGATGTTCTGCCCGAGGCTCCCATGAAACTTCATTTCAGAGCAATTTCTTGGCACTGTTTGTTTAAAAATCTTAATTTGATTCAATGGAAAAGCATGACATTCTCATTTTAAGTTGTTTTTATCTTACAAATGCCTCGATTAATTTGTCTGTCATTTTACTTTTCCCAATAGTTTAAAGCAGATTCCTCCAAACCCTTCTCCCTCTCCAACAGCTATTATACAGATACCTCCCTACTTAGTGGGCAGGAAGACCATATAATCACACCAGCAAAGGTGGGAACTGCCTAGTGCTCCCAGGTGGAGAGAAGTTTTTGTATTCAACACTGGTAGGGATACAAGACACAACAAAAACTATCTAATCTTTAACAGAAATTTTAGTATGACATGGACAAAATCTAGAGCGGAATGCCACAGAATTCAGCCTCCTTGACGCTCACCATTGCCTTTGTAGTGAACTCTTTTACCTTCCCTGTTCCAGTGGAAATGACCTGAAAGTTCTCATCTCTGTTTCACAGGTAAGTATAAGATGCCTGGATCAGGGACAAGGAGACATCTCTGAGAGTAAAATATTCACATGATGCCTGGATATCCAGAGGAAGGATCAATTTTTCTCATTCATGTGGTCAGAGAAGACAATTCCTTCTCTTAATGTACAAGGGGAGGGGATTAACCACTGGACTCTAGAATGAGTATTTCCTATAAGAGCCAGGATAAAAAGCTTTAAGCAAGTGTGGCCTTTTTTTGGAGGGAGGGTGCATTTTGGTACTATACTGGACCATACCCAAGTAAGCTAAATAATTTTATAATAACTACAGCCTTACCTGGAACCCTGGATCTCAAGAAATAGAGAAATTTTCCATTCTTGGAATGCATGATGGCTCTCTTAATGAACTCCACCACTGACTGACAGCGATCCTCAAACTTGGGATGACACCACAGGCTAAATGTTCCTGCCATGGAAAATTAAGAAGAGGTAAAAATGTTAAACATTTTTAAAAGATCTGGGAGACTGGTTTGCACATTTTTATGATTCTCACTTTTTGGAGGGCAAGGTTTTATGGGCAAGCTGAGTCAGACAAAGGTCCTTGAAGCCACCTGTTCCTGCTTGTTCTAGAATTAATGACAAGAAAGATAATGCCTTTAATAAGACATAAATTAGGTCTTACAAGCCTTTTGTTAAAGTAAATAATAAATTCAAGTCACAAAAAAAGATATAAAAATACTTTGTCAAATTTCTCTTAGCAATATTTTTTTCTGATTTATCTCCTCAGGCAAGGAAAACAAAAGAAAAAATAAACAAATCGGCGAAAAAGTTTTTGCACAGCAAAGGAAACCAACAACACAAAAAGACAACTTACTGACTGGGAGAAGATATCCACCAATGATACATCCGATAATGGATTCATATCCAAAATTTATAAAGAACTCATACACCTCAACACCAAAAAACCTCAAACAATCCAATTAAAAAGTGGGCAGAAGACCTGAATAGACACTTCTCCAAAGAGGACATACAGATGGCCAACAGACATATGAAAAGTTGCTCAATGTCACTAATCATCAGAGAAATGCAAATTAAACCACAATGAGGTATCACCTCACACCTGTCAGAATGGCTACCATCAATAAATCCACAAACAACAAGTGTTGACGAAGATGTGGAGAAAACGCAACCCTTGTGCACTGTTGGTAGGAATGCTGATTGGTGCAGCCACTATGATAAACAGTATGGCGGTTCCTCAAAAAAATTAAAAATAGAACTGCCTTATAACCCAGAGATTCCACTTCTGGGTATATATCCGAAGAAACCAAAAACACTAATCCGGGAGAATATATGCACCCTTATGTTCAGTGGAGCTTTATTTATAATAGCTAAGATATGGAAGCAACCCAAGTGCCCATCAATAGACGAGTGGATAGAAACACTGGTACATATATACAATGGAATATTACTCAGCCATAAAAAGGAATGAAATCTTACCATTTGCAACAGCATGGATGGACCAAGAAGGTATTATGCCAAGTGAAATAAGTCAGAGAAAGACAAATACCATATGATTTCACATATATGTGGAATCTAAACAACAAAATAAATGGAAATGCAAAATAGAAGCATACTCATAGACAGAGAACAAATTGATGGCTCCCAGAGGGAAGGGGGACTGGGAGGCTGGATGAAAGAGGTGAAGGGATTAAGAAGTACAGATTGGCCCAGGCCGAGTGGCTCAGTTTGTTGGAGCATCATCTCATACACCAAAAGGTTGTAGGATTTGATTTCTGGTCAGGATACATACCTAGATTGAGGGTTTGATCCCCAGTTGGGGTCCTCATGGGAGGCAACTGATCAATGTTTCTCTCTCACGTTGATGTTTCTCTCTCTCTCTAAAAAAAAAAATCAGTAAAAACATATCCTCAGGTGAGGGTTAAAAAAAAAAAAAAAGGAAATACAAACTGGTAGTTATAAATAATCACGGCCTGTAAAGTACAGCACAGGGAATATAGTCAAAAATATTGTAATATGCCCATCTAGAGTGGCTCAGTGGTTAAGCGTCATCCTGTGCACCGAAGGGTTGCCAGTTCAATTCCCTGTCAGGGCACATGCCTGGGTTGTGGGTTTGATACCTGGTCGGGGAGCATACAGAGAGCAGCCAACTGATGTTTCTCTGCCTCTCCCTTCCTCTCTCTAAGCATGTCCTCGGGTGAGGATTAAAAATATATATACACGTAGTAATACTATGTATGGTGTCAGGTGGGTACTAGACTTATTGGGGATCACTTTATAAGTTATATAAATGTATAATCATTATGCCGTACATTTGAAACTAATATTGAATGTCAACTGTAATTGAAAAATTTTAAACAAAGATTGCCATAGCAAAAGCTAGTTCAAATGACATTCCCCTCAAGAAGATCTAAGTCTTCAAGTATTCATGAGACAGTCGAAGAAAGACAAGAAGAGTGGCTTTGTGGGTATTACCCATTCATGTATGTATTGGGCACAAAAAAATCAAACTCTATGTCCTTTCTTTAACTTCTAAAATTCCAGGCCCCACCCTAGCCAGTCTGGCTGAGTAGACAGTCAGCCTATGGACTGAAGGGTCCCGGGTTCAATTCCGACCAAGGGCACGTACCTCGGTTGCAGGCTCGATCCCCAACCCTGATTGGGGCACGTGAAGGAGGCAACCAATTGATGTGTCTCTCTCTCACATCGATGCTTCTCTCTCTCTCTCCTTTCCACTGTCTCTGAAAACCAACAGAAAAAATATCCTCCAGTGAGGATTAAAAATAATAATAATAAAATTAAATTCCAGACCCCAACATGTTACAAAGATCCCACCCCAAACTTCAGGATCCCAAAAGTAAAAGAGAATCTGAACTCCCATGACTTCAAAAAACAATAAAACCCCCTCAAAACTAAAGCTCTAAATCTAAAAGAATCATCCACAAAGGGGATACTAAATCACTCAAGAGAACTGCAGATCTGAGTCTCTATAGCTACTCTTACAGTATCACTTAAAAAGAGGAAGACAAACGCTCCTTTGCAAACTGGCAACTGAAAGGCCCTCAAGGCTTCTATTAAAAATTCCATTTATTCAAGGAAGAAAAGTCCCTTTGAACAAAAAGTAACTGGAGAACCATTTGAAAAAGCTCTCTCATTCCTGGCATCTCACCTATCAGGAACCTAGAGGTCAAGCATTTATTCATCATTCCCATGGCCTAGTCATTTACTTTAATAGGCTTATAAAAATACTTCACTCTGAAATGCTTTGTTTTGCATTTGTTTGTTTGGTTTTTTTCTTTTAGGAACAGCAGGAAAACGGGCAGCAGTCTACCTCACAGTTTTCTAACTAATTCTCAGGTCTTTGGACTGAAGTTCCTTTCTCTTCATGTATCTGTAAGGCAAAGGTGGAGGCAGAGGAAACCATGGACAAAGCTACGCTCTTTAACAGCTACTTTCTGACTCACAAGAGAAGCAAACCAAATAAATCCAGCAGAACATGGTTGAGAGCAGAAAGACATGGTGGTGCCTCAGAAGAGCATGAAAGAGACTCTTATTTGAGATGAATGTCTAATACAACTCATTTAAGGTGACCACATGTGGGAAGAGTGTGAGGGATGGGAAGGGCAAGTCCCCAAAATTTCCAAAAGTTCTCTACACTTTTAAAATTTATAGCATATGCAGGTATTTCAACAAATGATGTATTATCCAGCCCTACCACCAATGACCATCACAAGTTTCTGGCCCAAGTCAAGTACAGAATGCACTGCTGCAAAGTCAATCCAGACAGTGGTGTTTAACAAGTCATCTTCTAGACATGACGGCAACATTAAACACAACGTGACCACAGAGGGAGGCAGGCAGACAGTCTAAAGCATATTGATTTTGCAAACTCTCGGAGTTCTGATGACTACTTCCTAAGAAACTGCAAAGCTGACCAAGAGAGAATTATCATCACCATGCTGACTGGCAGAAAAGCTGATGTGACTGTCAGGCAAAGAAATTCAGAACAGAACAGTCCAGGATCAACATTAAATTCTCCTCTTTGTCTATCTGATTTAATAGAAAGTATCTCTAGATGTTAAGTTTAATTACAAACAAAGTTTGGGAGAATTTGTCTAGGTTATTTCTTCCTCCTACCAAGAGAGTTATTGGCTTTGTTCTGTTGAACAGTTTTGTTCAGGCCCTCCTATTTAGGAAGCAAGATGTTGAGAATACTTTTAAATGGAGCCCTTGCTCTCTTCCCTACCCCGCCAATTTTTCTTCTAGTGACTGAAACCAGTGCCATGTCAGCATTCAACTGAATCTGTGAGCTCTTTGCTCCTATTCACAATTCTACTTCTATGACTCCTTCCTATGAAAAGTCAAATAGCAAAGGCAGAGAAAGGTTCCCTCCAACACTAGCACCTCTTACCTCTGTAGTGCTCCATTCTAGTGTGGTGGGTGATACCCTGGGATCGAAAACTGAGGCTCAGGATGTAACGAGGATCAGAGCTGTCTCGTACCAGGAAAGAACCATCTGGCTTCCCTTTCAGCTTCATCTCTGCATCTTCCCAATTCATTGGTCCCCAATACCAACCACACTATCAAAGATAAAAAGCGGTCAAGTGGTTAACGGAACTGAAATGTTAAAGTGTTCAGCACAATATATCTTATCACAGGAGAACCCCTCATTTCCAAAACATTTCAGGAGGGAAAAGCTGTAAGAGTGTCTCAACCATTAGCAATAACATTGGGCTCACTATACTTCTAGTCCTCCAAAGTAANTTTCAGGAGGGAAAAGCTGTAAGAGTGTCTCGACCATTAGCAATAACATTGGGCTCACTATACTTCTAGTCCTCCAAAGTAACAGAAGATTTCTACAATGCCATTGCCAAGGCCCTATGAGGAGGAGAGGGACCCGTGTGAGTAAATCTACCAAAATCAGCTCAGACTACATAAACATTTCCCCAAGATTCAATTTTACAACATCTTTTATGGAACTGATAATAGTAGCATATTGTTTTGTCACTGTAGAGACAAGAAAACAACTTTTCCTCTAAAAATAATAAAAGGAGAGCCAGATGCAGAATTAGGAAGTGGGAGAGGAGGTGAGCCTCCAGTGTTCAGGTGCCACCTACCTTCTCCAACTCTCGAAGGCTGGCTGCAAAGCTGCTTGAGTCCGGCCGGTAGAGAGGACACTGGAGGTGTTGGGGGGGCTGGCTATGTAGGGATTCAGCTGCTCGGATGGGAGCAATCCGCGGAAATGCATCTGCAGGGCAAGAGAGTGGTGGTGACTTGGTTATCCTCAATGCTCCCAACCACAAGTAGACCCTCCCCCCAAAACAGAGATGCTAACTGAAGAGGGGCAAGGCATTAGAAGCTAAGCTGGAAAGGGTGAAAGCCAAAGCAGTGGGAAAGAGCTGAATGGGCTGGAACAAAAAGCTGTGTGGGCTTGTGTAAGCTGTGAAGGATGGGTGGGGGCACTGAACCCCAGGAAGGGGGGGAGCTGCTCACTAACCTGACTAAGGTGACTACTTCAGGGCCTTCACCAGCCTAGAGCGATTCCAACTTCTCCCACCTCGAGGTGAAGTGCCGGTAAAGCAGCCTTGGAAATAGTGACTCGCTTACTTGCCCAGGAAGTGTAACGATTTTGCCAGGCAAGCAGAAAAGAATGCCGATTTCATTCATTTTATTCCTTGGGTACCGGAGGCTGGCAAAGCAGGTATGGGCTACTAAATGCTTGCTACTTATTTACAAGGCTGCAGTCAGTACTAAAAGCTTAAAAAAACCACAGAACTTTGAAAACCAGCAACATATTAAACCTCCTCACTGTCCTGAAATTACAGTAGTTTCCTCAGTGATGTCTACTCAAGGATTAAAAAAACAGTCTCAGCAGCAAAAAGATGAAAAAATTCAATAGTCTTTTATCTCTAACAAAAATCAGATTCAACTCCATAAATAAAACAAGTTAGAAAAATTAGTTCTTGGCCTCATTTCCAAGGAGTTCTGGTCTAGTCAAGGGGATAAAATTTAAGCTTTCCCGTAAGTTCTGTATTTTCATAAACAGATTTCTCCCATCCTTCAAAAGTTTATCACTTTGTACTCCCAACTCTTACAAATCTTGCCTCTAAGCTAAGCTAACCTGGGGCATGGGGTGGAGGAGGCGGAGGTAGGGGGAAAGACTGCAGGGAAGACCCCATCGGAGCCACAAGGACAGATGTAGGCAGCGTCCCACTGATATCATCTAGAAGAGAGAACAAAAGCAAGAGGTTCAGAAATATGAGCACAGACTGAGCAAGGTGAAGCAGCGGAGAGGGAGAAGGAGCATCACGCTGCCCTCTGGGGCAAGATGGCCCAACCTTCACCCTGTCTTTTTGCACAGAGGGCAACAACCATCTTAATCTGGTTTCCTCTGCTTGAAAGCAGGGAAAGTGAGGATATTTCTAAAGCAGCCCTCTAGCTGTAGGTAGATTCAGGGCAAGATAAATGCAGATCTAATCAACATATGGATAGTAAATGCTATAACAGCATGCAGGTAAGAGACCCATTCAACCGCTTAGGGAGATGGTAGGGGTGCTGAGAAAGGGACAGGAAATAATTGGTTCATCATTAGAAACCCAGGAGCTTGTTTGGCTCCTGGCAAAGAACAACAGGTCCGGAGAGCTCCCCCTCCCACTAGGGCAAGAAGGCAAAGAGTAGAGGAGACTATACCTAGGAGGCTGAGGCTTCTTCTCGGAGGAGGAGGGGGAGTTGGAGGGTGTGGAGAGGTCAGGCCCCGCTGTGAGATGTCCACATCCACAAGCGACACTGTTTCACCTGAAGGATTCATGGAGCAAGCATGTTATAGAGCACCATGCCCAAAGCTGAAGCCAGAGCAAAGGAAAGCAAAGGGCAAGCAAGGGAGGTTAGAGGTCCATGGCTCTTAAAAAGCTCAAAATCTAATACTCCCAGGGCTGAAATCACCCCCCAAACACCTGGGAAGTCAATTTTAAATTCTACCATTTCTCTGCCCTGTTAATGGTCAAGGATCCTTTAGAACAAAAACATGGCCTCGACAGTGGAAAAGACAACTAATTGTGGTTCTGCCACTGACAATATAACCTTGACCAAGCGGTCTTCTTTACTCAAATGGAAACCACACCATTTATTTTTACAGACTTGTATACCAATTTCTGCCCTAGGGAGCAAGCAGGCAGCTTGTTACCAGCCCAAATGAACATAGAAAGCAAGTGCCAGAAAAAAAGTAAGAACTGCATGGTACATTGAATACAAATAAAGATTCCAAAGTTAGTCCCAACTTCTTCCTAAATGGCTTTCCATGTCTAGAGTTTTCAGAATATTCACTCTGAGAACCCATTTCAGATATCAACTAATTCCTAATAGCTGAGGCTACAAAGGTTGAAAGGTGCATTTACAACCCTGATAATTAACTACTTTCACAGTCAGCCAAGAGTCAGGTAGGCTTACTGGAAGCTTCTCAGTGGGGAGTGAAGAGGGGGAAGTAGCCTGTGGTTTCTCTTTACTTCCCGGCATGTCATGCAGTTCTGTTCTCTGCCATATGCATTCCTTCTTTTTTTTGGAAATATATCTTTATTGATTTTAGACAGAGGAAGGGAGAGGGAGAGAGAGAGAGAGAAACATCAATGGTGAGAGAGTCATTGATCGGCTGCCTCCTGCAGGCCCCCGACTGGGGATTGAGCCCATAACCCAGGCATGTGCCCTGACCAGGAATTGAACCGTGGTCTCCTGGATCCTAGGTTGATGCTCAACCGCTGAGCCACGTCCAGCCAGGCTGCACTCCTTCTTGCCACCCAGCCCTATCTACTCTCTCTCCAATGAGTCACCAGAAGATGAAGGGTATTTTATTAACTAAGGTTAGCAGCCAAAAATAGGTCAGAACTCCAGATTTCTCTAATTTGAGGGTGTTATTTCCAACACCTTTTTTTTTATTCAGGAGGCTGAATTAATCCCTCAGCTAGATTTTATTATTAGAGACCAATGTCTCTAAAAGGTCAGGAGCTGGGCTTTCAGAATCTAATACACAGTTTTGGTTTTTGTGGGGGTTTTTGTTTTTGTTTAATAAATTTCTTGAACACTAATTATTAAGATAAGCAGAAAAATTCTTCTAAAAATCATCATTGGAAGTTCTATGTGATGTACTAGACTCATCACATAGCTTAGTAACTGAGAGCCTAGCTGCCCAGAGCAATGCATTAAACCCAGACAAGTGTGCTTCCTGAAGGGTCAGAGAGGTCCAGATTGTAGGTGTAGCACCTCAATAAAAATATGTAATTCAAAAGACCTAAGGCTGCATCAAACAGAACACCAAACCAGAAACTATAAATGTGGGTGTTCCTTACATTAGAGAGGAAACAATTATTAACTAGAAAGAGATATTACTACAGGATAAGATTCTTTAATTCTGGGCTTGGGGTAAGCACAGAGACCGCCTTCTCCACCTGTGCCTATTACAGGCACCAACTCTTGTTTTCACAGCTCATGGCCGTAAATGCAGTAAGGGGGTGGGGGAGTCCCACTAGCCCACTTAATATCTTCTGGAAATGTCTATTCCCTAATCATAATTCTTCCAATCTTTTTGAGAGACACAATACCAAAAGAGTTTGAAATTAGGATTTTTTTTAAAGCCTTCTCAGCCACAACCAATGAGTCCTCAGTTTCTGAGACTTGAGGCCATGTGAAGACCTTCTTTTCATACAGCTCATTCAAGCAGGAGCTTCACATCTGACTGACATTACAAAAGGGCTCCCTCTGAAAAAGTTTCCATTAAAGAGAAGGCAGTTGCCCAAAGGACATTCAACCGCTTTTCTACTTTAGCAACTGTGTTCCTTGCTGCAAGAAGATAAACTTAAATTAGATACAACGAAGAACTCTTAACAGCTGCAAGAACTGCTAGCCCCTAAAATGGGTAAGACAAGAGTTCATTTAATCCCCTTTGCCCAAAGTCTTTAAAAATAGACCAGATAACCATGGGTCATGTTTATTAGATAATCCATGAACTCCCTTGGCAGCAGGGACAGGAATTGTATGACTTCTCAAGAGTCCTTCATGCACTGCGAGCCTATAAATTTGTAATTCCTCCTTTTAATTTATATGTGATGACCCTGAACTAAGCACTGCATAACTGCCGGGCCAACTAATTACCAGCAAGCAGTCACTACTCAAACTATAAAGCATCCAAAGTCAAGAACACATTCCGCACCATAAAAATAGCCTCACCCCAAACCCAGCAGGCAGGGAATGAAGAAAATAACTGCAGGCATGCCTGAAGCTCCCTCTGTGATGCATCTGTAAGTGTTTCCTGACAGGTCTCAGAACACTCCTACTTTCAGATGTCAGAAGAAAAAGAAAGAGATCACCCTTACCTGTGAATAGGGGGCTGAAGGAGACTGGAGAAAAGGCACTTTGAGTTCTTGTCAACCTGGGTTTCCTAGGGGGTGAGAAAGCACAGAGAGGGAACAAGAGGGCGGGGTGTGTTTAAATCATTACAATACTCAATTCCATATGCACTGAAAAACAAAGCAAACCCTGGTCATTGTCAGCAACACTTTTGTAATAAAGCCTAAAATTTCGGGGGAGAATAAAATAATTAAGACAATTCCTTACATAGATCTGGCTACAGAATTCACCAGCCTACAAAGCAATGAGAAATCCCTTTGGATCTCTCCACACCCAGCACATTAAAAGAGTAAAACACCTTGAGTGGTAATTAGCAAGTCCATTTCTAGAGGAAGGAAGTCAGATGCACAGTTGATTTTCATATGGGAACTAAGAAAAAGGCTCTTGATCTGACTAGGTGCCATCTCAGAGCAACAGCTTTCCCTCTGGGTGTTCCCCTATGAGCAGGAGGTCCCAACGTGAGCCAGGGAACACATCTGGACTTGAGACCAGCACTACAGGATGCACATGTAATCTTTAACCACTAAGACCTCTGATTTCTGCACAAATGTCCCCAAGCCATGGGTTAAAACCATTAACTAACAAGGGGGCTTTCTCAATTAGGGGCTCTGCCTGGCACCCAAACGAGACGGCCCCTTCCCCTCTCTGAAATGCCAGTCACGTAGCTCTCCCCATGACTTCTCCTTGATGCTACCCAGGGCGCCAGCTAGAAAACCCAGATCTACTGTGAAAAGATGCACAAAAGGTAACTTTGCTTTGTACCAATTTCAATTGGCTTTTCAGAGAGAAATGAAAGAAATCTGAAGACTGCGGCGACAAAGACTTTTTGGCTAGAAATGTGCTAAGTTCAAAAAATTCACCTTAGGATGACTGAATTGGCGACTAGGGAAAGACTTGTGGAGGTGATGAAAATATGCTATATCTTGACTGTGGTAGAGGCCATGATGACTGTATTTATCAAAATTAATAGAACTGGACACCTAAAAAAGGTGAATCTTAGGTGGTATGTAAATCATACCTCAACAAACCAGACTTTTAAAAGAACTCCCACCACTGATTTGAGTGCCTGACTCTGAGTCTTGTAGCTGGCTCACCTTCCAAAAGTACTCTCACCCAAAGGACTAAATGAAACTTCAACTGCACCAATGGAGGAGGAGGGGGAAAACAAAGAAAATCCAATTTAAAATTATTTGATTTTGGAAGATCTTAACGCATTTATGGTTTAACATAGATATCTAAGATTCTCAGAACGCACTTCAAACAAAATTTCAAAACCATACTGTAAAGACTTTATTCAGAAATAGCCAAGATGCTAGATTTCCTCTCCCAACCTATCTCACACTCCCTCTGCAATCTCCTCCATGAGACTTAAGAAGTCTAATGATGGTGCCTACTGTAAATGCCCCATCCATGGCACCCATGGGAGAGATGCCTGCATCAAAACAAGACACAAGCACACATGGTCCCTCTGTTTATAAAAGTTGCTCGTGACAGTCTGCAGCTTGGTTCCAACATTTCAGAGGGCTGGAATGGATAGTTAATTCCACTGGACATGAACTTTAAGACTGAAGATCTTCCAAACTGATTTTTATTTGATATCTGTGGGTACAACATTAAACTCAGCAAGTAGAAACCTAAAGCACTGGCCTTTCAAAGGGTTCACACCTCAGCCACTTGGCAATGTGCCTGTTTTCAAAGGAAGCTGCATTACTCTGCCATCTGCCCATGCTGGGGACGAATCTCTTCAGTGCCAAGTACTGAAGAACGGCAGTACCCAAATGCACACAGCTTGCGGAGGCCTTCTCACTCCACCTCATCTTCTCCCCCGCCCCCAGCATTTTGAAGAAGAAAATCATAGTTTCTAGGATCTGGAAAAAGAAATACATATGAATCTAAACCCAGGCAGAGCCATTTAAGAGCCCTGGGATGGTTTTTTTCTGGCAAATAAGGGGGCCTCAGAGCTGGAAGCTTGGAGAAGTAGAAGGTCTAAGAGGCTGAAAGGCTAATAATAAATGAGTGTTTCCTTCTCTCTTCGGGGAGATGCTGTCTAACTAAAAATCCAAAGCAGTTTCTGTCTCAAGGATCCTGAGAGCATTCTAATGGTAGTCACTCATGAAAAGACCAATCTAGATGACTATAAAAAAACAAAGCAAGGGAATGATTAACATAAAATTGAGGATGGTGGTTACAGTAGCTGTGGAGATATAATCAGGAAGCAATACACAGGGGTCTTCAAAGGTAACTGATAACATTCTATCTGCTACGCTTAGAGATGAGTATCTAGGTGTGCATTTATTATTATAGTGCACACACTTTATACACCTCCTTTTGTATATATGAAACATTTAAAATGATAAAAGCCCATTCTAAGCTGGCTGTGCTGTGTGTTGTGTGTTTTTTGGAGAGCATCATGAATGATACAGATAACATTTTTAACTAACCTTTCTATACCACATTCCTATGTTACTTTATTCATCTCCAGATCACCTTGATGAGCATTAGGGTGCAAAGTTACGCCACTGTAGCTTTGACAGTGGGCCACATGCATCTGAGTAGCAGAAAGACTTGGGGGGTGGGGTGCGGTAGGATTTGATGGGCTATGCCTCAGGTGGCAGAACAGGACAGGGGTGGCATAAGGTCTTCTTTGAGGCTAAGCAGTCCTTTGCATCAGCTAAGCATTGCCTGTGCTACAGGTAACAAAGAAAGAATCCCTCTGTCCATTTCCATTCTGCAAATTGCTAACTGTATGGCAACAGATCTGTGCGATAAAAAAGTTAAAAGCATTAGACTAGAAAGGCCCACAGCACACTGATATAACCACTGGCCACTGTTCAATTCTGTGAAACTTAAAATATAAACAATGAAATAGCAATGCCCTCCCTTTCTTGTCCATTAACCTCCTCTACTGATGTCCTAAGACTTACACATGTTCTTTTCTAAAGTGACTTACTAACAAGAATGTCCAAATATCAGGCTTTACAGCCGCAAGTTACCCCTGCCCCTGCTAAAGCACACAGTGCCAAGTCAGCCAGCCTGTGCCATTTCCAACGCGTCATAAGCCAGTGTCTGTTCATGTGCTACAGGCACAAAAACCATGTGTTCATTTTTAGTTCCAATACACAGACATCTGTGCAGTAAGGTCAGATCCAAAACTCCACATAAACCAACTAAAGAACCTATGGAGGGAACTTCCAGGAAAAAGCCAAAAGGTGTAGTCCAAGGTCTAAAACCTTAGGAATGATGTTAGCAGAGAAAATATTAAGGAGTGAAAGATACAAGATTCAAATGGATAGAGATTTCTGAAGCCAGGCTGCTCATTCCAAATGAGAGCTGCCAACCACAACCACTTCGTGAAAAATAGTTAAAAAGATCAATAGAGTATGGACCCAAAATTCAAACATAGTTAGAACTTCCTCATCACACCATAAAATCATTTTGTTCTCAGCATGCCATGCTATTTCTTAAAACTACCCCCTTGGACATGAAGACCCAAGGAAATAGAGAAAAGGGTTGCTCATGTCTGCCAAGTCTGTCCACAACAGCAGGGTCTCAAACTGATGCCAAGGCAGCCTGCCTCTATTTCCAAAATTGTATCTCTTTGCCCAAACAAATAGATAGCAAACTGTTCTCCATTTTTCCACCTTGCAACTATGAAGATCAACAGTAATAGCCTCAACTGTTAACTCAGAAAAAGGAAAAAAAAAAACCTTAAAAAAATCAACAAGGTCCCCATTTCCAACCAAGTGTGTATTATGTGATCATTCAAAAAAAGTCAGATCGAATGCCATTTCTCACCAAATATAAGGGAAGACAATCAGCTCAACATATGTGAAACAGAAAAGGGAACTTAACTGGTTTTTCCTTGAAATAGCAATTCTATATTACACTGAAGCCCACAGGCATCAAGCCCAGCTCTGTGAATTCAACATATGTGTTAAAGACCTAGCCCAGTTCTCCACAACAGAAACCTGATTAGATGGTGAGCCCATTTCAACCTTTGCTTCAAGAGTTCTCTAAGCTAATTCATACTAGACTTAAGACTCAGAACATCCAGGTAGGTCCACTTAGCACACTCTAAAGCATCTGAAAGGAACTGAAGTTCTGCTTAATGTTAAAATATGGAAGCTGATAACCTTATAAAATGATTATAAGAAGTACTTTCTAGTGATAGCTGTGGGAAAGGTAGATCTTAAGAAGACCAAAGAGAATCATGCCCAGAGGTTGCTATAAAAGCCCCAAATTATACAGCAAAAACTACAGAGACTCCAACCATGGGTAAGGAGAAAGGCATATACCTTCTGGCAAGAGACTGAGATTTCTCACAGCTTCCAGGTCCTACCAATCAACACAAGAGAACAAGCTAAAAATCCAAACTCATTCTTCCTTCCAACAGAGCGGACTTACTTAGGAGGTGCAGATCCATAGAAATCACAACTACCCTGGCCAGACATACCAAGTTTCTCACAGCTGTGAGGCTGCCAGCAAGACTGGCACATAGTAAGCTGTGTAAAAGCTAACAAGTAAATCTAACAGGACCAAATCCTAAGCATAAAAAAATAAAAATTAAAAAATCATCAGTTCAATCTTATTACTTCTCCAAAAGCACAAAATATTCCATCTCCACTTTTCTTGTCTTCACTCCATTCCTACAAGGAGAGGAAGAAGACAGGAATCAGTCCCATTTACTGAAGAATAAAAAGAGAAGCATGAAGAAAACAAAATTGGCCAGCATCCCACAGCTGATGCTGGAGTCCTAAATGGAATCGAGGTGTTCACATTCTCTGTCCAACAAGCTGCCTCCTAACAGCAGTCAACCAACCATTCATACACAAATACCTAGCTCTTCTCCAATTCATCAGAAAAAGCCCTTGGACCAAAAAATGTAATTCTCCAGTGCCCTGAACTAAGCTTTGCAGAGCTACAGCCCAATTTGCTCTGCAGCAGAAATCTGTATTGTGCTTAGCGTGAGAGTTGGTGACAGAGCAGCCAATGACCATTAAATTCTGCTTCCAAAGGCAAAAAACCGTATAATGTTATATGCCTTTTTTCCTCTTCCTAATCTATTAGACGGAGCAGCTAATTTCACGCCACACCTCATTTTTAGCGTCTCTGGAATCTCAGACCAAGTCCTGGTCAATATGGAACAAAGGCAAGACAAATCACAAGAAAATTAGCAATCTATCCTATGTCATTACCCACAGATTCGATCCTGCGCCGCCCCCCCCCCCATATGATGAAAATTTCATCTATACGGGTTAAGTGGAGCATCGGATGCAGAGCCTACTACACCTACTAAAAAAGCTGTTTCAGCAGCCACACACTTTTCAGGACCTGAGCGTAAGTTCATTGGGAGGCAAATGCAGAAACATAGGTCTACCTGAAGGGGTAACATGCATCAACCTACTGATTTCTTTAGGGAGTTTGGGTATGGTCTGATCCCCAAAATGAGCCCCTGGCACAGCTGTCCAGAAAGGGCAGCAAAGTCAAAGTGACCCCACACTTTCAGAGTACCCAAGTTCCCTTGAAAAGAGAAGTCCATGGATGAGCGGTTCCCAGTCCAGGTCATACTTCAGGATCAACTGAGGAGCATTTTAAATATTCAATTGGGCCCTCAGACATACTGATTTTTTTCCCAAAGCTCCCCACGTGATTCTGGTGCACAAAGTTCTCAATCTATTCCCCTACCTGTTCTTCAGCCTTGGGTTGTGGCTGCCAGTGTGTCTCAAGATTCCATCACATGAGCTGCACCAAAACCAATTCCAATCTTTCTTAGAATCTACTTAGCAGCACAGACCACAATGGCAGTTACCACAAGGCAAGTCTCATTTCATTGACACAAAAGCTGACAGCTTTCTAAACCAATATACTGAATGTTAGAGAGCAGTCCACCCTTCAGAAATGCAGGAAAAAACTCTTAAGTTTGGAAGTTTCATCAACTGGCCTAGAACTCATACACCAATTAATGTCTATACTTTATACTTAGAATTCTCACATGGGAGGGGCTTGAGAGCAAAGCTATTTTCTATTCCCACTGACAGTGGTCAGCACACAGGCTTGACATACCAAGTACATCTAAGAGACCAACCAGGAAAACATGAAAACTTGGAATTAAGAGGCCCAGTTAATTGTGGGCCTACAACTCGGCACATCATTTGGATGCATGAGTGTGAAGGGGGTGGGGTGCTGGTACACAGAAAGAGTAATAAGCAAAGTGGTCAAAATGCAACATCAACTTTTTGTCCCAAAGGACAAACATTTCCAGCAACCTCCTTGAGTGAGTTAATGGTAGACAGGCACCTTGGGAAAACTTTAAAAGCTGGGCCAGGGTAGGGATGGGGGCATGGTTTCAAATAATCTCAGAACTAGAGATGCTCACCAACTGAGAAGTGTCAAGGGGAATGAACTGAGTGAAAGCAGTTTCCCATAATTAGCTCTGACGCTAATGAACGATGTCACCACCTTTAGCCCCAATTCTTTGCCTCTTTATGAAGACCATATCACAAGAATTGTCAGGATCTTGTTAAAATAAAAGGGAAATAAAGCAAAAAAGGGAAGTCAGTCCGCAGCTGGTCTCACCTCCCTGCGTCCAGCTCCCGGCCGGCAGAGCCTCCCACGTCTGTCAGGCTCGCAGCTGAAGCGGCCAGCTCTCCAGAAGGCCTCTTGCCGGCCCCACACACGCCACCGGAGCCACTGGTGCAGCTCTTCGTGCGAAAGAGGCGGCTGAGGCGGATTTTGAGAGAGCCCTTCAGAGATGGGCCCGCGAGTGGCCGGAGGGGCCCAGGAGGAGGAGGGGGCGGGGGAGGCGGCTGCTGCGGCTCCCCTCTACTCAAGCGCCCTGGAGGGACCAAGTCCTGCAGCGGAAAGGGCACCGGGGGTAATTCAGGGCCTGGGGGCTGCAGCAGAAGCCGGCTACCTCCTCCTCCGCGGCCCGGGCTGCTGAGCTCCTCTTCCGAGCAGCTGTTAGTCTCCAGGCTCTCGGCCTCCGACTCCAACCCCTCCAGGACTAGCAACGCGTCGCTCGTTTCCGTGGGGTCCTCCCCGGCCTGCGGGGCGGCAGCAGGCGGCTGGGGCTGCGCAGGGGGCGGCTGCGGGGGGCACGGGCAGCAACCACCAACCGTCTTGACCCCCGGCCCCGCCGGATGCCCGAGCCCCAAAGCT